GGTGGCTTAACCGTGTCAGAAAGATATGCCTGAGCATTGGCCCTTTGGCCTTTAGACTGGCTCGACCTACTCCTTCGAGAACTAGGACAATCGCCTTGGCCACCAGAATGAGGCCTATGTAGCTTCCATCAAGTCTCTCGTGTGTATCTAGGTCTACGGCAGTAGTCACAGAAAAGATTATCATTCTCAAAAGAAGGATGAGAACCATGAGGCACACGCTCTCCATCTCAAAAGGGTGCAAAAACCAAGATAGAGCAATCAGTAGTAGCAGAAAAAATCATTGCAGAGCAGTAACTCTCCTCTTCTGCACAAAAACAAAGGCTTCCTGGTGAGAAAGAAGCACGTCCATGCGAAGTACTCTGCTCCGAACTAGATCACACCCGCTCTTGCTCCACAAACTTCTAGTAACTAGTAGAATCAGTAGGACAGACAAGCTTGTAATCTTGAAGGTGATCAAGTCGCTTCCACCTATTGTTAGAAAAGGTAAAATACTAGAGGACAGTCATCTTACCTTGTAACGACCTTTCAATGGAGCGACGTAACTTGAAAGCTTGTAAGAAGTTCGCTTTCTTGGAATAAGTAGTAGCAACAGCCTCCCAGATATCCTATGCAGTGTCTATAGCCAAGGAGCCCTCTCCAATCTTAGGGACCATAGAATGAATCAACCAACCCATGATAAGAGAGTTGGTGATTTCCCACTGATCATAACTAGGGTCCGTGATGCTGGGTGCCTATATTCTGCCATCAACATACCATATCTTCCCTCTGCTCTTCAAAAAAATAGTTAAACTCCACGACCACGCTAGATAGTTTTGACCATTGAATAGAGAAGTGGTGATTTTAAGGTCAGGGTTGAGATTATTAGTTATAGTAGAAGGTATAAAGGGACTCTCGCTCTTAGGCGGCTAAGAAGTTATTGACTCACCAGTGGAATATGCCATGAATATTTTACTAAGTAACCCTCAAACCCAGTGCCAATAACAAACCTGGAAGATGGTGGAGAAATAGTAAACGCTATGACCACAAAAAAATCATATGAAAATTAAGGTTTTTTTTTAAAAGATGTTTAGGAGGAAAACATTACAGGAGAGAAAAGGAAACTTGTCCGGAGGCTGGCCAATAGAGGCCTAGACAGCAAGTGAGATGCCGACAGAGGCCAAGAGGGCTATAGGAGCTACTGACAGGACCCTAGAAGACCAGAGGGGCTACTGACTAAGCCTAATAGGTTGTCAGGGAGCCCAGGTGAACTGTCGAAGGCCTAGGTAAGGGTGTCGGATGGTTGGTTTGACTATAGGTGGGTTGAATAAGAGTCTACAGTGGCCGACTGGACTGCTGGGGGAAAGAAAGGACTGCCGACAATGCTCCTAAATGAAAAGGGACTGCCGGCAGTGATACTCCTCTAGTGTGATTGCCAACAGAAGAGAAGAATACATGGGCTAGGGTCCTGGCTCTGATACCATGTAAGTTTAGAGAAGAGAAAAAGATGGGAAATGAGTGAGACCTTATCCCCTTTTATATTGATAATAATACGTAATAACAAGAGTACCATTAGGCATAAATTATGGGCCAGCCCATTACATCAATCAATGGAAAATAAAATCAAATAAGAATAAAATAAAACAAATGTTATTTCCTATCCTAACACATATACCATCATAGTTTTGTAGCAAAAACTTAATCTATCCCCAACTTAAACTAATTACCCGATCCAATAATTAAAACCTCGAAGTTTAAGCAATGTGAAAACTAGAATATGGTAATCTAGTGTCAATACTCATTTTCTAATGTCAACAAAATAAACAAAAAAGAAGGTTTAATCAATAAATTAGGTAAAAAAAAATAACACTTCAAGAACTCCAAAAAAATCAAAGGGATATGACAACGTTATTAAGGTTACCTTGTGCTCGATAAAAGTATAGATAAATCATCACATATAATACATAAAAGTATAGATAAATCATCTCATGCCTCATATCGTAGATAAATATCTATATGTCAGAGTATATTGTGCTCAAATATAATTGTTCTATGCAATTTTAGAATGATAGTTAACATGATTTCATTTAGAGCTATGCATTGTAGCATGGATACTTCTAATAAGGTAAAGTGTCATGTCCAACCCACATCGCCTCCGTCACAGTGAATCTCAACTCCCCTTAGTCGACCCCAACATTGTTTTCATTTGGGCACCTATCATCTCATGAAGCTAATAAGTATGAATTCAAATAAGTAAAGTTCTCTAGAAAATTTTACAAAAAAAGAAAATGTTTAATAATTATTTATCAATTACACACCAACACCAGTAGAACTAACAAAATGGGAATAAAGTGCTAAGTAATAATTGAAAGTTATATGATCTGTTTTCTTTAGTCATTTATTCTTTTTGCTCCCCCTATCCCACCATACCCCAATTTGATTTTAATAAACCCAAAGCATAATTGTAGCTTGATTTTTGTGCTCCTTTCGGATACAATTAGCCCTACAATTCAGACTCCCGTGGTTCTGAATCTGATTCACAAGTGCAATGTGAAATAGATAAACACAAAAGAGTTTAAATCTGGCAAATCTTTTAGAAAATCCATTTTGAATAAAAAATGCCAAAAATGGACTGCATTGCTAGATTACAAAGTCGCCACCTAAATATTTTTAAAAAATTTAGGAAACCCGAGACTCGTGCCAAAAGCCACATGTTTGTCATCACCAAAGTGTCTCGACTCAGGAACTTAGGTATGAGAGAGGAAGGTCATGAATTAAGCACCACACTCGCCCAATCAAAGATCAGCCTCTACTAATCATGATGTGATTTTTATTTACATTATATGCTCTTGTTCTGATTATTAGGTTAACATTACTATGTGATGCACACAAGTATAGACTAATTTTGCAAAAGTTAGAACTTTTGTGATTTCATGTTTGTTTGAAAACTGGTTTGAATACCCGTCACTTGAAAAAGGTGAGTTTGTATGTACATTAATCAACTTATCCCAATTTTAGCAATTAGCCTTCATCCACCGGCATTCAAACAAGTATATCACTTAAGCATTTAGCCTAATGGAAAGCATGCTTGACATGGCAACAATCACACACAATGCAAGATGCTAAAGTAATAAACGCTCACCTAGTACTCCACGATAAGCCAAAAGACAATAAAAGAGTTAGAAAAATGCATGATCCTAATGATGCAAATGAGTAATGCGATACACACAATATGTAAATAATGAGTTCGGCTACTAGCATGGAATATGAACTAATTCAAGGCATGCGATAAAGCACGTATTCAAGTAGAGAATTTTGAATTTGACATGGATTCGTATGATGAGCCAAACCCAAATGCATGCAAAATGAATGGATGCAAGTCATGGAAGATGCTAAGTAAATATGATGCTACCATTATAAGCGAATAAATGAAAGGGAGAAACAAATGGGGGTTGGAAGACATACACAATTATTATATATTTTGCCCTCGTGCAAGAGGGTCCGAATGAATGTTCGAGTGTTCGAAATAAACTAATTATTACAACACCAAATGAATGAATAAACAACTAAGTAGCGAAGCTATTACGGCAAAGACTAATAATAATAATAAGCTAGCTACCTAATTTGTTACAACAAGGATGAGCAATAAAACTATCTAAGTTTATCAATAATAAACATTCATAATAATTACAATAATGCCAATTACATTTAATTACAACAATAATGAGAACATTCATTTACAATTTACAATGGAAGCACAAGTATGGCATGCTTGCAGCGGTTTCAGAAGTAACTCTATTTGCCTTCTTTGGAATCTGTCCTGTTTCACTTTCAGTCATTGCCTTCTACTTCTGCACAACCTACTGCCTTACCAAAAATTGATGGTCGGCCGAACCCCAATGAAGCCCGGTTGTGTCCCTAATTTTATGCAAAATCATGTTTTTGTGCTCTGAAGTGAAAACAATGCAGATAGAGTTATTCTGAACTCTATTTGTCCCTTATACTCCTCTCTCATGGTAAGCCTCAAGAGAAGAACGAAGTCATTTCTAAAACCATCAATGAGCAAATTGATTGCTTGATGAGTTAGGGTGTGATTTTGGACAAAAATAATGAATGCAATGAACAATGACCACCCCTCCCTTATATCATAGAGTAATCTCAAAGAGGGAGGTAGAGGAGGTAGGAATGCTTCAAGGCTCATTGAAACATCATGAAGTGATGCAAGATGACCCTTGACACAATAGACTTGGCATAACGTCCGGCCGAATCCAAGCAATATAATTCATTTTCTTTATGTGGGTTGGTTTATTTTAGACCAATTTTCTCAGTCCTTGCCATCCTTTAATCCATTAAGTCCAAGGTGATGATTACGTCAACTAAATGAGAAGTGCGTCAAACGGGAAGTGATTCTCAACATGAAAAAAAAAAGACTATGTCGTTGACGATGAACCTCCGTAGAGATTAAGACATTAAGCATAGATCTCTAGCTCATGTTTTGAATAACTATCAACCGGTTGAAACAACTCTCAAATGAAAGAAATGGATGGTAAATTGATTATTAAAATAAGGTTCTTAACATGGAAATTAATTAAAAAAAAGCTTAGAACAACATGTAACAAGCTATATATATGCAAACTTATGAGATAACAAGTAAACTAATCAAAGCATGAACTAATTAAACAACCTAGGCCAGCCCTAAAATAGCCCAAAATGGGTGAAAAACAGTGGCCAAAGTGCATGAAAAGAGACAAAAAAAAACTTTGCAACCAAGCAAGAACAAAGAGGGGTGGCTAACCTCTCCACTTTTGACACCTCAAAACATGATTTTTAGCCTTTTTTAAACTCTGAAAATCAATTTTGAAAGCAAAGAAAAGGGTGTAAAACAAAGGTTTAAGCTATAGGTAAAGGTGTAAGAAAGAGTATAAACTCTCTCCACCCTTTTGGTAGCTCTCCAAACCTAACCTTAAACACTTGGCAGAGAATCAAGAAAGAGGATAAAAATAATACAAAAATACAAGAACTAGATGGCAAGAGATAGCAAAGAGAACAAGAGAAGAGATAGTGAGCTTATACTTCTCAAGAAAGGTAAGCTCTTTGTTTGTGAATCAAACTTGGTTCAAACACACTCTCAAGCTTGAATTATGATGCTCAAGGCTCAATCAAGGTTCCAAGTCTAAGGTGTGACTATACACCACAACAAAATGGAGAAGCTGAAAGAAAGAATAGAACATTAATAGAAATGATTAATGCTATGCTTTCTTATTCCAGTTTAAGTTCTGAGTTTTGGGGTGAAGTGTTGTTCAATGCTTGTCACATACTCAAACAAGAAACCTAATTTAGGTTACTTGAAAACTTGGGGCTGTAGAGCAATAGTCAGATTGCCTGAACCTAAAAGAAAGAAATTAGGTGAAAAACGAATTGAATGCATAGTCCTTGGCTATGCTATACCTAGCAAAGCATATAGGTTTTTGGTAGTAGAGCTCAATGGTTCAGTAAAAACAAATACCATCATTGAATCACGTGATGTTTTATTTTATAAGAATCGTTTCACAATCATTCAAAGGTTGGATTCTAATCGAGGAAATGAATCAACTCTTTTGATGTCTACAGAGGAAAGTGAACGACATGAACCCATTAAGCCTAATGAGCCTATTGACCTAAGAATGAGTAAGAGGGCTAGGACTGAGAAGTCATTTGGCCCTGATTTCATTGTTTACCTTGTAAAAGGAACTAGGAAAGCTTATTGTAAGCAAACAATGATTTCTTGAATATGGATTCAGATCCATTAACCTTTGAGGGGGCTATGAAGTCTCAAGATGTTGCTTTCTGGAAAGAAGCAATAAATGATGAGATGGATTCTATCATGGGTAATAATACCTAGATACTTGCTGATTTGCCACCTGGGTCCAAACCAATTGGTTGTAAATGGATTTTCAAAAGGAAAATGAATGTTGATGGCACAATTGACAAGTTCAAAGCAAGATTAGTTGCTAAGGGCTTTACTAAAAAAGAGGGTATCGATTATTTTGATACATATGCTCCGGTGGCTAGAATAGCCAACATTTGAGTGTTAATTGCCTTAGCCTCAATTTACAAGCTTGAAATCCATCAAATGGATGTTAAGACCGCTTTCCTAAATAGAGAGTTAGATGAGGAAATCTACATGCAACAATCGGAAGTATTTGTTGTACAAGGTCAAGAATGCAAAGTGTATAAACTCGTTAAGTCACTATATGGACTGAAATAAGCTCCAAAACAACGACATGAGAAATTTGACAAAGTAATAGTGTCAAATGGTTTTAGGATACATGAATTTGATAAGTGTGTGTACAGTAAGTTTACTGGCAATAGAGGTGTAATCATATGCCTATATGTAAATGACATGCTTATTTTTGGTATTGACAATGATGTCATTGAAAGTACTAAAAGTTTCTTGTCATCTAATTTTAGTATGAAAGACATGGGCTTGGCTAATGTAATTTTGGGTATTAAAATCAAACGAGAGGACAATAATTTAATTCTTACCCAATCGCACGATATTGAGAAAATTCTTAAGAAATTTAATCAATATAATTGTACACCTATATCTACATCTTTTGATTCAAATTTAAAATTGTATCCCAATATTGGAAGAGCTGTTGATCAGCTAGAATACTCAAGAGTGATAGGTAGCCTGATGTATGCCATGACATGCACTAGACTTGATATTGCACTTGCAGTGGGAAAACTTAGTAGATACACTAGTAATCGTAGTAGTGTGCATTGGTATGCTGTTAACCGAGTACTTTGGTACTTGAGAAAAACAGTAGACTATGGAATAGTTTATAATGGCTATCCAATAGTGTTAGAAGGATTCACGGAAGCTAGTTAGATAATTAACCGTAAAGATCACTCGTCCACGAGTGGTTGGATTTTTACTCTTGGAGGAGGAGCTACCTCTTGGGGTTCTAAGAAGCAAACATTCATAACAGACTCAACCATAGCTTTAGAGTTTGTAGCATTGGCTTCTTGTAGCAAAGAAGTAGAGTGGCTAAGGAATCTCTTGTTAGAGATTAAGATATGGCCAAAACCTACGCTACCAATATCTTTGCATTGTGATAGTGAAATAACTCTATCACGAGCCTATAGCCATGTCTATAATGGAAAGTCCAAGTATATAGGACTAAGACATAACTGTGTCAGGCAGTTAATCATAGAAGGTGTGATTACTATTAGTTGTATAAAGACAAGTGAAAACTTGGCTGACACCTTAACAAAGGTACTTTCAAGGGATTTGGTGTGGAAAACATCGAAGGGGATGAGTCTTCAACCCACTTAACATAATCACTCCTAGTGGAAACTTGACTCAACTCTTAAAGAAACATCAAGTCTTGAGTTCAATGAGCCCAAGTACACCATATGTCGTGATTGCAAGTAGTTAGTTTTAATTCATTTTCATCCCAAGCTTGAAGTGCTTGGTACCTGTAATGTGAAAAGAAGATGATGAGTTAGCAAATTCTTAACAAGCTTATAATTGGGTTGTTAGGGTACTGTAAATTACAGGGGTACTTTCAGTAAGCTTACCTATGTGAGGGTAGGAGGTGGTGCCGTTTCCTATGAGTCCAAGGGCTTGACTGTAGAGCGCTCATGAAACAAAATATAAACACAAGGCCAATTCACGTGTCGGTTTGTTTCAATACTTGAGGTAACCTGTATTGTATGTGAGACATGTCCAGTTAGTTGTATAAGATCACTAGTTCAAAGACAAGTCTACTATGCCATCTTGACTAACTTTAAGGTATCTTCACTAAGTGAATGATTCAAATCGTAGGATATCTTCACCTATGTATAAGGTTGCCAAGTGAACCAAAAATCATCATCTGATATTTTGAAAATGGTGGAGGAATGTTGGGGAATTTTCAAAATGGGTTTTCAAAATTTGTTGTTTAGTTTTTGGTTGTTTTCAAAACCTTCCCTATTTTTCTTTGGAAAGCTTGAAATAAGCTTGGGGACCTTGTCCTACATCGGAAAGAGAGGAAAATATGGAACACTTAATAAAGTACTACATGGAATATTCATTTGAATCTGGAATTATGGGATGGAGGCTAGTGTACATGCACTCACACCGCAAGGTTGGTGCTCCGCACCATCTGCAACGTACATGCGCGCGCGTGGCGTGGGTAGTGGGCTGTGGAATTTGATGTCACACTTTGCACTTAGCGAGGGCACTTTCTTATTTGCATCAGATAGGTTAGAGTGATGATGTGGATCCAACGTGGAAATGGTGACATGGAATACAGTCAACTCCGCGTGGTAGTGACGTGGCGTCTGTTGGCGATGAGTCAACTAACCTATCGAACGGTTGATTATCCGATCTAGAGCGGTTGATCATAGCCGTTGATTGGAGATGTGTGTGATCGTATGGATGAGATGGCACCTGATTGTGATCAAGTATGATCAGTCAATGCATTTATTTGGTGTGAGAATGATCTGTATCATAGATCGTCAATCCAACGATCAGATCAGATCAGATCGAATGCAATCAAGAGACCATTCGATCAGATGCATCAAGGCCTATAAATAAGTTGCAAAATCAGCCATTTCAATCCATCCAAAAATCCAGAAAGCATTCCTGGAATTCTCTCTCTCTCTCTCTCTCTCTCTCTCTCTCTCTCTCTCTCTCTCTTTCTTTCTCTCTCCCTCTTGATTTAGAGTTTTCGATCAAGAGTTTCTTAAGCAAGTTTCTGCTTTTCTTACTGGTAATCAAATTCTGCAGACTTGATTATCAGTGTCTTGGTTTTCTTGATTATATCAAGAGTATTCTGATCTACTGTTGTCAGTGTAGACGCCTGTAAACTTGATCCTTAGATCAGGCTTCATTGTATCCTTGAGGCAAATTTGTTGTAACCCCCTGCATACCTTTTGGTAGGTACAAATATTGTCTTTAGGAAAGTGATTAAGTAACACGACTTGAAGTACCAAATTTCTATTCTACATAGACAAGATTGTCATCATGTTTTAAAGACCCGAAGACCACCAACTGAAGAATTCAAAATGAATTGTTCCAACATTCTTTTCCTTATACACGTTGCATTAACAAAAGCCTTAATTTTATTATTTTATTATAAAGATATGATATTAACGCAAAATTAATTTAATTTTTTAATATGGAAGTGCCACTTGTCTAATTTTCTAATTGTATAGCAGGTACTTTTTCTCACTATGTTTTTCTTATTGTCTTCAAATGGTACATAGAACTACATTTTCTTTATTGAGGGAAAATTGTGATAATATTACGAATTGTTTTTTTACAAAAATTCCATAAAAAATTAGGAAAATTTTCAATTTAATGAGAAATTTTAAAATAAAAATTACAGATATGTGGTATATCTTAAAACACCTATAATTTTTTGATAGGATCACTAATGGGTAATTTCCCAAAAAATTATGTATAATTTTATGGTCTTTCATCTCAATATTTGAGTATAAAAATGTTATAATCACATCATTTTATACGAGTTTTATGTATAAAATTTTTGTTGATAAATCATTTTATTTTGAAAAAAGTGGCAATATGAAAAAGAATTTGTAAAAACGTGAAGATTATCTTCATTGATTTACAAATTCCCACTCTTTATTTGCTCCCACAACAACAATGGCAGAACCTGGGCGTGTGGAGTATAAGGCAATGGTGTACTTTTAAGTTCACAGACAAAGTGTTTGTAGATATACTTGAATGAATATTGGTCTATTTGATATTGATACCGATTGAGCTCTTGTTTTGTTATTCAAATTTGTCTCAATATTTATTGTTTTTTTTAAACAAATTATTTTGTTTCTAAATTATTAGAAACATTTTCAAATTTGTCACTAAATTTTTTTTCTCAATGACATTTTGGGATGACGACAAAAATTGGTCTCTAAATTTTTTTGTAACAATATTTTCACTTTTTTATACAAAAGTTTAATCCCTAAAACTCTTCTATGTTACAGTAAATTTGATTTTCAAGTCAATCTTAAATGATTATAGTGGCTTAAATTTTTTATAATGTAACCAAGTAAAATAATAGTAATTTTAGTACTTGAAATTTTAAAAAGTTTTCAATTGTATTTAAGTTTGATTTGTTGAAATAACAAGCTGTCTTGAATGCACTTGTAACAAGTTATAGAACTTGATTCATTTTACGTCTATATTCAAGATCTAACTATATGAAAGTACTATTTTCCACGAACTTTCTCATTGCCCAATTACAAAAAGTAATATTCGAAAACACAAAGGAAAAAAATGCTAAGATATAAAAAATTAGGCGATCAAATAAAAATTTTCAAAATTTAAGGAAAACTACCAAAAAGATTGCCTTTTTCAAACAAACATGAAGTATGGGATAACCAAACCTTTCATGTATGTTAAATACATTTATTTAGTGAATTTTTTTTTTATCAATATTTCAAAAAAAAAAAATCACAATTAGATTTTAGGGTGAAGTACCAATAAATCCCAAAATATGATTTTGTGAACTCTTTAGTCCTCCCTTTTTTTTATGAACCCAAAGGTCCAATTAAAGTGGAAATTACATAAAAGGGTAGTCACTTACATGTTTGAGTTTAATTCTTTATGGATAAAAATGGATTTCTCAAAATGTAAAATTACACATTTGGGCAATTTGTACTATAGAAGTTTTGAATTTTCGCTCATTCTAGAACAAATCCCACATTACGAACAAAAACCTAACACTATAATGTAACACTCCAATAACGTAAAACTTCAATGTAACACACTAAAAAACTTCTTGGTGTGCTTTTCCCAAACGTAACAACGTAACACTATTTGGTGTACTGTTCCCAAACGTAATGCTTCAATGTAACACACATAAAAAAAATTCCTTAGTGTACTTTTCTCAAACGTAACACTCCAATCAATGCAATCCCAAATGTAACACTCCAATGTAATATATTCTAATATAACACAAAAATACTAAAAAAATTCTTAGTGTACTTTTACCAAATGTAACACTCACAATTTGAAATTATACATTTGCCCAAAACTTACTAAGGAATATTTATACTCCTTTTGGAATGGTTTAAAGAATCTCATATTCTTTTTTTTTAATATTGCATTAGAGTGTTACGTTTAGGAAAAGTACACTAAGATTTTTTTTTTGTGTGTTACATTGGAGCGTTACGTTTGGAAAAAGTACACCAAAGAGTTTTTTTGTGTGTTGTATTTGAATGTTACACTAAGAAATTTTTTTGGAGTGTTATATTGAAGTGTTATGTTTAAAAAAAGTACACTAAGGAGTTTTTTATGTGTTACATTAGAATATCACACTAAGGAGTTTTTGTGTTACATTAGAGTGTTACACTAAGGAGTTTTTTAGAGTTTATATTAGAGTGTTACATTTGGAAAAAGTACACTAAGAAGTTTTTTTGTGTGTTACCTTAAAGTGTTAGACTAAGAAGTTTTTATATGTTACATTAGAGTGTTGCACTAAGGAATTTTTTTAGAGTGTCATATTTGGGAAAAATACATTAAAGAGTTTTTTTGTGTGTTACATTAGAGTGTTACAATAAGGAATTTCTTTGTGTGTTACATTAGAGTGTTACACTAAGAAATTTTTTTGTAGTGTTATATTGGAGGGTTACGTTTGGAAAAAAGTACAGTAAGGAGTTTTTTTATGTGTTACATTAGGGTATTATACTAAGATTTTTTTTTTTTTTTTTTTTAGTGTTACATTGGAGTGTTACATTTGAACATTACATTGGAGTATTACAGTTTAAAATTATACATTTGGCCAAACCTTAAGTAATTTTTGTACTCCTTTTGAAATGTTTGAAAAATCCCAAATCCTTTTGGAATGTTTGAAGAGTCCCATATTTTAAATCATTTTTGTATTCCTTTCGAAATATTTTCCAAATAAAAAAGATTTTTTATATAAAAATCCATCCCAAATTTGATTCTCATATATTGTGTATCTTACCTCTCTAGCACAAAAGAAAAAAAGAGAAGGAAGATAATAAAAATAAGGGTGTAACCGTAAATTTAATTTTTAAATAATATATTAAATCTACCTTTTTAAAATCAATAGGACTAATTGGTCTATAAGAAAATTCTTAGAACTAAATGGATCACCATTCCTCAAGATGTGATTTATAGGTAAATTTTCCTAGATTTTACTAGATAAGATTGGCTAAAAAAAAAACAAAAAGCAAAAAGCCAATTAAAGAAAGAAAAAAAAAGTTAATATTTATTTTGTTGTTACTTTTTCCTTTTTTTAATTTTAAATTCCTTCTAAATTAGACTAAATTGAAAAATAATAATTTTGACATAAATTTTAAAATATTTTCACAAAAAACAAAAGTTTAAAAAAACAAATGTAATATATCTGCACCATACATATTGTCAAAATGCTAGGTTGGACCATGGAACATAATACCTGCACTGTACATATTGAAATATATCTGCACCACACATATTGTCAAAATGCTAGCAAATATGATGGAATCGAAAAATTTTAAGCTTTTGATGATGCCAAATGCTTACGAACTTTCTTAGAGTTTTTGCCGGAAAGTTCCAACTACGTAACGAGGTACTTGTTTCATGATTTATTGCCAAAGTTAAAATGCTCACATGAATTGCGTTTGTGTAGTTCAAGGATAGAGGAACTACCAAATTCCATTGGAGATCTAAAGCATCTATGCTACCTTGATGTATCCAAATTTGGGATTAGAAAATTACCTGACTCGGTAATGACTCTTTACAATTTACAAGTCTTGTTTTTGGAATCTTCTCATCAACTTGAGAAGTTGCCTCCAAACATGGGCAACTTGGTGAACCTACACCATTTTGATATGACTGGTGTGAATGTTCTATCACCAGAAGAGATGCCACTATAGATAGGTAAATTAACAAAGCTACAAACATTGTCAAATTTTTTGGTGGGTAAAGGTATTGGGCATAGAATAGGAGATTTTGAAAAACTTATCACACATTTGAGGGCAATACACATATCAAGGCTGGAGAATGTAAGCGCCGCTAAGGATGCCAGAAAGGCCAATTTAATATCTAAGGAGTGGTTAAAAGGGTTATCACTAGAATGGGATAACTCTCATAGCTCGCAGAATGACACGGTTGATAGGGATGTGCTGGACATGATGAGACCTTACAAATTTTTGGAAAAACTCACCATCTATGGATATAGCAGTACAAAATTTCCAAAATGGGTGGGAGATGCTTTGTTCTCTAAAATGGTGTCCGTTAGATTAGAACATAGTAAATGTGTGCACATCTTTGCTGCCACTTGGATTGTTGGAACAATCTTCTGTGTATAATAAAAACTAAAAACAAATCAAATAAATAAAATAAATTACTTACAGAATTTATTTACCGAAACAACTTAAGAACAAGAATGATCAAGTCGAGTGTGTAACACTCTGTCCATAAGACAGAATCGCCCCGCTCAAGTGCTTACAAAATAATGGCGTCTATCTTCCAGGATACAATGATTTTTCACAGATTATATTAGCACTAAAAACAATCTGTTTTGGCAAAGTAGAACCTGTGTTCTACACTCTTAGAAATTTGTCTAAAACTAATATGAAGAATATATCTATGCAAGAGAGCAAAATGGAAGACAACAAGAGAATTTTTTGATGGATTAAGTTGCTGGAAGAGGGTTTGATTTTATAGGCAAATAGATGCCTTTTCGGAAGACCTAAATAGGTCTAACCAAGAACCGAACAGGTGCATTTCGAAATGAACAGGTGCAGAATTCAAACTGAAAAGATATAGAATTCAAATCTATTTGAAACAATTTGATCTGCTAGAAAATGGAACCAGAAGAAGCACTATTTGGACAGGAAATTTGAATTCAAATTTGGCACAAAATTTAAATTAATTTTGTTCAAATTCAAATAATTTTTCCGCAAGAACTTGAAAAAATTTAAATGAATTGTCCAAAAATTAATGTTAGGACTCGACCCACAACCCACAACTGGCCTAACACAGCACGGTTCGGCTCGGTCGGACAGTGGCGGCAATGCGCGTGTGTGGTGGTTTAAGCCAAAGCCCACTTTGTCCATAACTTCTCCCTTCTACAAAGTTGGGGTGTCTCTTGGGGCCCAACCCAAGTTTGTCTAAACCCAAGTTTGTCCACCTGGAGCTTATATACTCACATAAGATTTATTAAAGTTTCAATGTAGAACAACCATTTTAAAGTAACCCATACTTGACTCTTTAATTTCCACTGGTTGGGAGCAAAAAATTTGAATTCAAATTGGTGCAAAATTCAAATTTTCCTGTAAGAATTTTTGAAAAAATTCAAATAAAATTTTTTCAAAAAATTAAAGTTATGATAGACTTGACCCACCACCTACACCCGGCACAGCTCGGCTGGACGGACAGTGGCGGCAGTGCGCGTGTGTGGTGGTTTAAGCCAAAGCCCACTTTGTCCATAACTTCTCCCTTCTACAAAGTTGGGGTGTCTCTTGGGGCCCAACCCAAGTTTGTCTAAACCCAAGTTTGTCCACCTAGAGCTTATATACTCACATAAGCTTTATTAAAGTTTCAATGTAGAACAACCATTTTAAAGTAACCCATACTTGACTCTTTAATTTCCCATTCCACGAACCCGAAAATGACATCAACTTCCTATTTACTCATAAATGGTTTTGACGAATCGTCTTCACTGTGTGACTCGCCATGCGGCAAGGAGACCCACCCCAAAAGACGTGTGGGCCCCACTCAAATTTAGACTCAAAGTTGACCCAAAATAAGCCTATAAAAACCATAATTTTCAACAATCCTCTACATGAATGGAATTTGACAAAGACAAAATGCAACAACATGATCTAATTATAGAGAGTACAGAAATCGGAGATATTCTACAAAGGATAGGTAGCTTTTGGCTTTGAACCTTCCCTTGTGAGACACTGTCCCAAACTTGTTGGAAGATTACCCAATGATCTTCCTTGTCTAAAATCTCTTTAGATTGTTGGTTGCCTGCAGTTGTTGGTCGATGTTTTGAGCCTCGTTCTCCCATCACTTACCTCCTTGTTTATGATGGAAGCTATTCTTCCAAGCCTCTCGACGGAGATGAAAAATATGCTTGAACTTGATTCCTTCACTCTGGATATTGGAAATGTTTCAGTTTTGACTCTCTTTGTAATCCAAAAGTAGTTGATGAATGGTTACTGGATAATGCCGCGTCTAAGCATCTGACTTCAATAACTGCTTTGAGCATTTCTGGAGTAAAAAAACTAACGTGCATACCCACATGGTTTACTCAAGGGTTCATGGAACTTAAGAATTGGATAATTAAAGAATGCGGTGAACTTGTGACATTGTGGGAGAATAAGGTGAGACTACAGCATTGAACTTGTGACATTGTGGGAGAATAAGGTGAGACTACAGCATTGTCTCCTTTCCCTCTGGCATTTGGATATTTCTAGATGTCCTAAACTTGTGTGCTTGTTTGAAGAAGAGGAAGAAAAAGAAGGAGAAAGTTGGGAAAAGAAGGAACATGAGGGGCTTCCTTGTATGACAAGATTCTTGTATTTACAAATTGAAGCTTGTCCAATGCTTAAGAAACTGCCACGAGATCTGCACACCTACATGTCCCTTCGGGATCTGAAAATCAACAGTTGTGCAAGTCTTGTCTCTTTTCCAAAGACAACTTTGCATCTATGCTGAGAGAACTTGTAATTATAAATCGCACTGTTTTGGAGTCCCTGCCCGAGTTGACGAAACTAAATAATCTCCAAGAGTTGTCAGTTTCAAATTGTGCATCACTCTCATATTTATCATCGAGAGGTGGGCTACTGTCCTCACTAAAACAACTTCAGATTGATGAATGTGAAAATATGAAGTCACTCCTTGCAGAGGATGGGATCAAAATTGATTGTTCGTCTCTTGAAACTATAGTTATCAAGTATTGTAACAGTCTCACATCCTTACCAGATGCCCTACATTCTAAAGGGAAATAATCTCAGGGAATTGAAGATGGAAGATTGTAATAATCTAGTGTCTCTTTCAGAAGGATGGTTTCACCGCTCAAGCAATCTGATAGAAATTGTAATATGTTGGTGTAACAAAACTGGAATTCCTGTTGCCACTTGGTGTCGGTGTGCACAACAACGAGAACAACAACATCAACCAATTCAGTTCTCTTGATTGGCTGAAATTACATAATTGCCTGGCAGGAATGGTTTCCTACCTTCTCAAGGAAGGGAGTTTCCCCACTAACCTCAGTTCACTTCACATCGGGAATATCAAAGTGGACATTGGTCAACTTCTTCCACCTCCATCTCTATTAGAGTGGGGTTTGCACAAACTCTTTTCTCTTACAACACTTGTACTTGGAGGCAAACTTTGCCGTGGGAAGATGCAGTGTCCTTTGGAATGTTGCTGCCTACTTCTCTAATCTACCAGACCATCATCAACTTTCCAAATCTAGAAAGACTCTCTTATGAGGAGCTTCAAAACCTCGCCTCTTTCGAAACACTTCATATCATACCGTGTCCCATGTTCATGTCATTTCAAAAGGAAGGGAAGCCTCCCTCACTTTTGCATCTGAAAATCTGGGACCGCCCTGAGCTTGAGTCATTTCCAGAACAAGATTTCCCTCCTTTGCTTTTGTCACTAGAGATCTTGAGATGTCATCCACTACAAAAACAATAGTGTGAAAAGGAGAAAGGCCAATATTGGCCCATCATCCAATACATTCCTCAAGTATCTATAGATGGTGATATCTAGTATAAGCAGCAAACTGCAAGGTACAAACAAACTTATAAACACACTATATCCTATCATTTTTATTTATTTATTTTCTCATTACCAAAATCGTCTCAGATTTTTATCACAACTGAGGATTTTTTTCTTCTTCTTTTTGGATCTTTAACACAACTGAGGGTTCCATTTTGTTGTATATGTTCAATTTCTAGTACAGTGATTGAACACATGATGAACCCCAAAAATATTCTAGTAGGAAACAGAAGAAAAAATAGGTAAACAAAGCTTTAGAAATGGAAAGATAAAAGGAAGTAGCAGAGAAGAAGAAGAATTCAAAGAGGATAAAAGAGAAAAGGAGAACAGATTCAAATTGAGAAGGGGGAAAAAACACTATTTTTGTATTCATTCTTTTTCTTTTCCTTTTGTTGGTGATAATTACAAATAAAACACAAGAAAATAAGAATAATAGAAATTACAAAAACTATTGTAAGGGCTAAGGTGCGGAAAATTCACTCTCTTTAAGGAGATTCAAGCCCTCTACGGTTAGGCAAAGCCTCACACCAGTGCAACAGAAAAAACCTTGACTCGTCCCCCCCAGGATACAACAGCCCGACTAAGCGTATGGTTAACCAATACTGCACAATTGGTTGAACCCAAAGCTTTATCACATACACCTCACATACACCCTTTTTTATTTGCCTGATAATCTCACACAAGTCATAACAAAGCAACAAAAACTCCTTCACTCGTATCACCCAACATAGAGATTAGCTCAATACATATAGAAGATAAGGCTTGGAAGGTTTTTCCTTGGGGATTAAGAAAAGGATAAAGACTTGGAGAAGACTTGATGTGGATAAGTCTTGGCGAAGACTTGGAGAAGACTTGACAAGGACTTGGATGGCTTATCTTGGAAGACTAGGAGTGGATAAGAATGGGGAGACTAGGAAGACTTATCTTGGAAGTCTTGGAGACTTGTATGGTAAGCAAACTAGGTAGAAAAGAAAAGAAAAACAACCTATAACACAATATAATATTAAAATACCTGCTAACACCTTTCAAATATTTCCTTTTCCTTTTCTATCTATATACCACTACGGAGTGGATGAACTTCATTCTCATTTGGTATTTAATCTGTATTATTTTACACCTTAGTGGAAAGTAAGAACTATTTCAAGCTATCAATGGAGATTTTCATTTTTGTATTTGGTAACAGTGATCTCCTTTAATGATTTGTTGAAAAGAGTACGTTTCAATCATTTCTAGTTTTTGCAGTTTTATTTTATGGGTCAGTATATGCTGTGTGACCTCCATCTCATCCTTATCACTAAGTCATCAATTTTTACTAGCATAATGTATGACATCATGGATTGGCTTCATAATGTTTCTGACAGCTACAAATTAATTGGCTTAGTAATTTGATTAGGACACCGTATTTGTTCCCCCTTTCAAATTTTCAAGATGAGAACTATTGAGTGGTTCCATTTTTGTATTGAAATGCTGATTTTTATTTTTATTCTAGAGAGGACAACTTCCTGACTATATTACAAACTCGCAATTGTGACTTTGAATGCACTCTTCTTTTTGTTGTTCAGCTAGTAAAAGTATATTTTTTTGTATTTTTCTCAATGTTTTGTGAAAAATATATACAAAAGATTTGTGGATGGTTTAAATAAAAAAACCTACTAACTATTGTTGTCATTACCTTTTTGTTCCCTAGGGCTTCTTTTGTCATGGAAACAAACTTTTGGATGTATTCATACTCACTGCTGCGTTGCGAGATTTTGTGCATCTTTGCAAGGTATGCCAAAAAATTTGGTTGAAAATAAGGCTTCTTGTCTTTGGAGAGAAATACAATTTAGGATGCAAGCGGTTGCTATTTTATGGGTTTTAGAAATGTCATGAGGTTTTTTATTGAATACATTGATTTACTTTTGTACAGTCATTTCGAAAACTCTTGTTAGTGATAAATAAATAAGATATATCAAGAAAATTGAGAAGGAAGTCCTTTCCACATACTATAATTGAAAAAACCTCCCTACCACACACTCTTCAAAGGCAAGAACTTTGATCATTGAGACTTCAATAAATTTGTTTAATATCACGTTGTATTTTAAAACCTTTCTCCTTGCATGCTAGACTACATCTGACAGTTATGAAGCCACCTAATCTAGTCAAAATCCATGTGGGCAATCTGTTGTTGTCACGCCCCACTTTTTATTACTCGAAGTCATTACCAAATTCATTAACTTAATTCAATTTCAAGGATAATATACGGAAGTAAACTCATACATCCAATCCGCAGAATCAATTAACAGTACTCTCATTCGTATGCAGAGTATATATTACATGAACATACATAATAAATTGCCCTTGGGCTTACATCACTTAAGGTACAAGAAGAAGGGTGTAACCCTTTTACAACAATGGCATTCCGCCAACATAACTGAGGCCCCGTGGCCAGTAAATAAGTAGAACCAAATCTTGCAGCCCAACTTGCTTAACACCTAAAAAAGATTCAACAACGTGGGATGAACATATAGTCCAGTAGGGAACTCAACATCATCCTCAACAATAACAACTTACAGATAGCTATGATCATGAACACTCATTCTCATACTAGAGTAGTAATGTGACAGTTTATAACAAATCATATATGTATGAACTTTTCTCGAAAACAATCGTTTCATTCAACACTACAAGTGGTTTATCTTTCCTATTTTCTTTCATTAACCCCCATTCTCAATCTTTCATAACATTAACAAATACTTAGGAAGTAATCTCACTAAGCCCGATACCCACTTCCATTTCCTATACATACTCAAATGTACCTTTTCAAACATGTTTATCTTTAAAACATACGTTCTCCTCCACACTTTCCAAAAGACAAAAAGACATTTTGGTTCGTTTCCATTTCTATCATAACTATACATGCATACCTTTGTAAAAATATAAATTTACAACCCACTAACATGTATACAATCAACCAATGGAGCAACTCGGTCCTCCGAACTATAACCAATCAAAATCCATGATATTTTCAGTTACAACGAAACAACAACAATCCCATTTCACTCTACTAGCCATGTGCGTAGTAAGCCAACAATACACCCCACTCAACAACATTAACAACAAGCCAGTTTACCAGGCGCTAGCTGGAGGGGTATGGTACCTTCGATTATTAGCGCAGTCAGTTCTCCAGGCGTCAGCTGGAAGGGTATGATACCTTAGATTCTCAGCGCGGGGCATAACACCAACAATCACAGCACATCAAGGCATAACCAACATGTATAATGCATATACATAAACTATCAAGACACCAGCAATGTGTTAAAGCAAGTTCAGAGATAACGTGCGGAAATAAACTCTTTAGTCCAATGGGTAGAAATAAATAACAATTCTCTCGTCCAAATGCACAGTAAATACAACACGAGCATACTGAATAAAGTGCCCGAAGGCTTACATCATTAAAGAATTGAAAGAAGGGTGTAACCCTTTTTCATATATGGCATTCTACCAACAAGAAAGAGGCCCCTTGGCCAACAATTAAGAAGATCCGAAATCTTGTAGCACATCCTGCTTATTTTTTTGGGTAAGTAAGTCATAAAATAAAGACAGTAAAATGTACAAGTTTACAAGGGGCATACCCCAGGTGCGCCCTCCAACAAATAATAGACGAACAAAAAACACCACAAACTACCACTGGACAACTACAACATAAACCACATTCGCAAAAGCGAAAGAACAACAGAAAAAAATAGAACCCCACTTTGCCCATATATCCTTTTTGCCCTCAAGTAACCCCTACCATCTGAGATAATAGATGGAAACTTGGGTTGGATATATGGACAAATAAACAAAAACACACCACAGACTCATAAAACATAAATACAACTGTGACTAACTAAACTCCCAACAAGACCAATCAAAAAATGATAACTACCCCCGCTTGCTCCTAGTCTCTACCTCGGATGAAAGCATGGAATCCAATAAGTATCTCGCTTCTCACAGCCGTGACATCTTAGCCACTCAACCAAAGCCATGACGAAGGAAAATATCTATCCCATGAAAGATCCTGGCTGAGTCACATGAAGCCTACACAGTCAATCACCATAATCAACAGTCTTGAGAAGTTTAGTGAAAAAACAATAGCTCCGTTGCAACAAACCAATACATAGCCAACAAAACATGAGAGCAATCATCACATCCCCCAGTCCCTTCCTTGGTAGATCACAAGCTTCAAGCCCCACGGTAGTGTCCCCTTCACTCCATGTCAGGCGTGGCAATACAATCAATTAGGATGGGTCACATGAAGACAAGAAGCGACCAGAAAACCGGTAGCTATCCTCCCGCTCATCTCCCAGTCTCTAACTCGGCTAGTTATCGAATCACTTATTCCCCATAGCAATGACTCCCCAATCATTCTTGGCGGAGATGGCTCA